AGTGGCCATGGCTCACGGGCCCAGCCGCTCTGCGGCATGTGGGATCTTCCCGGACTGGGGCACGAACCCGCGTCCCCTGCATCAGCAGGCGGACTCTCAACCACTGCGCCACCAGGGAAGCCCTATGGCCAATTTCTTAAAACAAGACAGCAATAAAGTCGGCCACATAGATTGACTCTTCCTTTCACAATTTCTCTGTAGCATGCAGTGCTTGCTGTTTGTTAGCATTTTACCCACAGTAGAACTCCTTTCAAAACTGGAGTCAATCTTCTCTCAAGCCCTGCTGCTTTATCAACTAAGTTTATTTAATATTCTAAATCCTTTGTTGTTGTTTCAACAATCTTCACAGCATCTTCACCAGTAGTTTCCATCTCAAGAAACCACTTTCTTTGCTTTTCTGTAATAAGTAACTCCTTATCCGTTTAAGTTTATCATGAGCTTGTAGCATTTCAATCACATCTTCAGGCTCCACTTCTAATTCTAGTTCTCTTACTCTTTCCACCACATCTGCAGAGCTCTTGGGTGACCAGGTACACTATCAATGAGCAGTGATATTTTGAAAGAAATCTTTTCTCCTAAGCCGTAGGTCTCAACAGTGGGCATAAAATATTCGGTAAACTATGCTGTAAACAGAGGTGTGTGCTGCTATCCAGGCTTTCTTTTTCCATTTATAGAGCACAGGCAGAGTAGATTTAGCATAATTCTTAAGGGTCCTAGGATTTTGAGAATGGTAAATGAGCACTGGTTTTGACTTAAAGTCACCAGCTGCATTAGCCCCTAACAAGAGAGTCAGCCAGTCCTTTGAAGCTCTGAAGCCGGGCATCGACTTCTCCTCTTTAGCCATGAACATCTTAGATGGCATCTTCTTCCAGTATATGGCTGTTCTGTCTTCACTGCAACTCTGTTGTTTAGTGTAACCACCTTCATTCATTATCTAGCTGGATCTTCTAGATAACCTGTTGCAGCTTCTACGTCAGCACTTGCTGCTTCACCTTGCACTTCTATATTACTGAGAACGCCTCTTCTCTTAAACTTCACGGGCTAGTCTCTGCTAGCTTCAAACTTTTCTTCTGCAGCTTCTTCACCTCTCTCAGCCTTCATGGAATTGAAGAGTTAGGGCCTTGCTCTGGATTAGGCTTTGGCTTAAGGGAATGTTGTGGCTGATTTGATCTTCTATCCAGACCTTTAAAACTTTCTCCATATTAGCAATACAGCTATTTCACTTTTTTATCATCCATGTACTCAATGGAGTAGCACTTTTAATTTCCTTCAGGAACTTTTCTTTGCATTCACAAGTTGCCTGCTTGGCTCAAGAGCCTAGCTTTCAGCCTGTCTTGGCTTTCAAAATGTTTTCCTCACTAAGCTTAATCATTTGTATCTTTTGATTTCAAGTGAGAGACGTATGACACTTCCTTTCACTTGAACACTTAGAGATCACTGTAGGGTTATTAACTAACCTAATTTTGAAAATACTGTGGCTCAGGGAATAGGGAGGCCCCAGGAGTGGGAGAGAGACAGGGGAATGGCCAGTTAGTGCAACAGTCAGAACACACATGACGTTTATCGATTAAGTTCGTCGTCTTATATGGGCATGATTCGTGGTGCCCCAAAACAAGTACAATTGTACATCAAAGATGACTGGTCACAGATCACTATAACAAATACAATAATAATGTAAAAGTTTGAAGTATTGCAAGAATTAGCAAAATGTAACATAGAGACATGAAGTGAGCAAAAGCTATTGTAAAAATGGTACCAATAAGCTTTCTCAACACAAGAGTGTCACAAACCTTCAATTTAAAAAAAAAAAAAAAAAAAGCAATTATCTGCGAAGTGCAGTAAAGTGAAGTGCAATAAAATTAGGTATGCCTGTAAAATTATTATACAAAAATCAACTGTAATAAGCATGTTAGCCATTAGGAAAATGTGATTCAATACTACCATGTGAGGGACTTCCCTGGTGGTCCAGTGGTTAAGAATCCACCTTCCAATGCAAGGGACACGGGTTCGATCCCTGGTCGTGGAACTAAGATCCCATGTGTCAAGGGGCAACTAAGACTGCACACTCTAGACCCCATGCGCCACAACTACTGAGCCTGTGAGCCACAACTAGAGAGAAGCCCGCGTGCCACAACTAAGACCTGATGCAGCCAAAATAAATAAATAAATATTTTTTTAAAAAACTACCATGAGATACTACTTCACACTCATTAGGAAGGCTACAATAGTAAAGAGAGAAAATAACAAGTATTGGTGAGGACATGGAGAAACTAGCACCCTCATACATTGCTGGTGGGAAAGTAAAATGGTACAGTTGCTGTGAAAAGCAGCTGGCAATTGCTCAAAAAGTTAAACAGTTATCACATGATCTAGCAATTCTACCCTCAGGCATATTCAAGAAATAAAAACATACTTCCTTACAAAAACTTATATATGAATGTTCAAAGAAGCATTACTCATAATAGGCAAAAACTGGAAACAATCCAAATTTTCATCAACTGATGAATGGATAAATAAAACATAGTATATCCAAGTAACTGAATTTTATTTAAAAATAAAAGAAGTAATGACACATGCTACAACATGAATGAACCTTGAAACGTTACATTAAATGAAAAACGTTAGTCACAAAAGACCACATATTGTATGATTCCATTTACATAAATTGTCCAGAAAAGACAAATTTATAGAGACAGAAAATGAATCAGTGGTTGCTTAGGATTTATGAAAGGGGAAATTTGGAACAACTGTTTAATGGGTATGAATTTTCTTTTAGGAGGCACAATTAGACTGTGATCATTGTATAACCCTATAAATAAACCAAAAAAGACTGAATTATACACTTTAAAATGAACTGCATGGTATATGAATTAAATCTCAATAAAGCTGTTTAAAAAACTTTCTGTAATTTTCTTATCTTATGTCATAAGATAATTAGAATAGAATCAATTTAATTATAGTATAATTGAATTTAATTGTAAATATAATTAGCTTATAATAAATAAATAAATAAATAATCAATCACTGTGAGAGCTGCAGCTGCAGGGCCATTACCCTAACATTAGAATTGCTAATTTGTCTATAAAACTTCCAGGGAACATTTCTTTGCACATATAATAAAATCAATACTACTTAAAAAAAATCATTCATATTTCCATATACCAGCAACAAATAGAAAATAAAAGTTAAAGATAGTTATAACAGTTATCATAAAACATCAAAAATAGAAATATTGATAAATTCAGTGAATCATGGAAAACATCCATTTACTAACAACTACTTTATTTCAACAAGACTTTGTAAAAATGATCTAACAAACAAAGACATATACCATTTTCTTGGATTGGAAGACTCAATACTGTAAAGATGTCTATTAATCCCAATTGTGTTGGTAAATATATCAAATGTATTCCCAATCAAAATCCTAATAAGGTTTCTTTTCTGTGTAGAAGTTCACATGAAAATGCAAAAGGACAAGAATAACCTAGGTGATCTTGAAGAACAGCTAAGCTGAAGAACTTTAACAGAGAGCAAGACCAAATATAACATGAGAGAAATTAAAACAGTAAGATAAGGGCAAAAGAATAGAGTAACAGTTCAGTGAAACAGAACAGATGGTCTTGTAACAGACAAGTGTATGTTTACCTTATTTATGACAAAAGAGAAACAGCAGTGCAATGGGGAAAGGATGGTTTTCAATAAATGGTGCTGGGCCAACTGACTATACAAAAAGTGAGTCTTGACTCTTTCTTACCTTACATCAGACACAAAAAAAATCAATTCCTGATGAATTATAGATATAAATGTAAAAAGTTCAAGAGTAAACATTTAAAAGAAAATATGACATTAAAATAGACAAATATTTCTTAAACTAGACACAAAAGACCTTAAATAAAAAAGACAAGACTGATAAAATGGAACTTGTGTTCATGTAAAGGTATCACAAAAGGGTGAACTAGCAAGCCACAGAATGGGAGAATATATTTTCAATGCATATTCCAAACAAAGAAACCATATCCATAATATATAATCAAAATATAATATTACTCAAACCAATAGAAGTGGGGGGAGCAGCAAAAGACTTTTAACAGGTGCTTCAAAAGGAATGTATCCCAATCAGCAAGAAACATACAAAATAGTGTCCAACTTCGTTAGTCTTCAGGGAAATCAAAATTAAAATTGCAAGGAGACACTAACAACATACCCACCAGGAAGGCTAAAATACAAAAGACAGAAAGTACCAAACACTGACAAGGATGGAGGATACACTGCTGGATGGAGAAGAGGTAAATTGGCACAACTATTTTGGAAAACTTTTGGACACAACCTACTAAAGCTGAAGATATGCATATACTACGACTATGTGATTCTGCTTCTGGGTTTATATCTAAAAGAAATGCATTAAAAAACTTCTTTAAGAAACATGTACTATACCATTCACGGAAACATTACCTGTAACAGTCCCAAACTAGAAATTAATGAAATGCCAAAAGCAAGAATAAATAAATACATGTTCATTCAGTGTAATACTACTGGCAGCAAAAATAAACTAAGACTACATTACATTCAGGTAGGGATGAAACTTACAAACAAAATGTTGAACAAAAGCCAGCACATAAAATGTACATATTATATGGTTCTATGTGTATAAAGTTCAAAATTAGGCAAACCCCATCTATGGTATAGTGAGTCAAGGTAGTAGTTAGTCTGGCTAGAGATGCCATGAATGGAAGAGAACATGAAACTTCTGGGCTTCTGGGGTCCTTGTCTCTGTTTCTTGATGGAGATTCTGCTTATGCAGGTGTGTTCATTGTGAAAATGTGAAGTGTGTCTGTGTGTGTATACACTATACTATACATATTAACTTCAAAATACTTCAAATTTTTTTAAAAATTGTTTTAGTATATTTATACAAAGATGACTATTTGAGCCTATGGAGAAAAAGAAAGGAAAATTACTGAATGTGGAGGCTAGGCTGTTTGTATGGTGTTTTTACTCACCTTTGTCCTGTAATGCAATTTGTTCCTTATGCAGTAATGCCACCTCCCGTCCCAAAGCTTTCTTCTGTCTTTCCAGTTCATTTCGAAGCACCAAAATTTTTAATTGCAGGCACTCACTTTCTTTTTTCTAAATAATTAAAAGCACAGGTAAATTTATGAATATAAAAGTTATGCCTATGAATAACTGTGTACTCACAATATTTCAAAATGTGACTGGTTTAAAGCACTTTAATATTCATGTAACTTATAGATCTCTTGAGTAACTTAATTATCAGCACCTGTCATTTTAATGGAAAGAATACAGATGTAAGCAAAGAACAGAGTAGAAATAAAATCTCAAATCTGGGAACAGTTCTTTCTAAGAACCTAAAAGACACTATAAAATATCTCAGGCCTCCTTCCTAACACCACAATACAATAAGACACAAATTAATAATAAAAAAGAAATGGAGTTCTCAAAATGTTAAACATAGAATTACCTTAGGACCCAGCAATTCCACTTCTAGACATATGTGTATACCCAATAGAATAAAAAACATGTCCATACAAAAATGTGAATATGAATGTTCATAGTAGCATTATTCATAATAGCCAAACAATGAAATCAATCCAAATGTCCACCATCTGATGAATAGGTAAATAAAATGTGGTATATATACAATGGAATATTATTTGGCAATAACAAGAAATGAAGTACTGATATATACTACAACATGGATGAATCTTGAAAACATTATGCTAACTAAAAAAGAAGCCAGTTTTAAAAGGCCACAGACTCCATTTATATGAAATTACCAAAATAAGCAAATCCACAGAAACAAAAAGTAGATTTCCATCCTTACCAAGCTGAACATACGTGCTCTAATATTCCACAGATTTTGGAGAAAGCCAAGTAGGGACCTGGTGCTTTCATCCCTTCCAGACAGTAACTAACCAAGCCCCCTATGTCAGTGGATACCACAGGGGGAGCCTGCAGCCTCACTACAGATGTAACAAGATAACCTTCTCCCTTCCTGCTGGGTAATATCAGAGGAGGCCAAGTAGAGAGCCAGAACTTTCACTACTATGCAGTGCTCTTGAGACCACCTTACTCCCTATGTGGGCAGCTGGAACTCCCATTCCTAGTCAGCACTAACAAGCCCTCTTACACTCACACACAAACACCCCTCTGCCATGTGAGCATCAATGGAAGCTTCTTGGGGAACTTGGACTTCCACCCCAACCTGGCAGTAATGAGATGGTGCCTCTTCCTTCCACTACCAGAGGTGTCAGAGGAAGCCAGGTAAGATAGAAGGTTTAAATAAGATCCAGAGACTCATAACATAATACCCCAAATGTACAAGTTTCAATCAAAAATCACTCATCAGACCAAGAACCAGGAAGATATCAAAGTGAATAAAAAAGGATAATCAATAGATGCCAACACTTGAGACAAATAGACATGTTACAACTATCTGACAACGATCTAAGAGTAGCCATCACAAAAATGCTTCAATTGAAATTAAGAACCTATATGGGAATATCATCTAAAAAAGAGTAGATATATGCAAATGTATAACTGATTCACTTTGCTGTACAGTAGAAACTAAAACACTGTAAATCAACTATACTCCAATAAACATTAATTTAAAAAAAGAAATTAAGAACATGCTTGAAACAAAAATATAGAACTTCCTGACAAAAAAAACCCAGAAAATCTCAATAAAGAAAGTGAAGACCTAAAGAATTGAAATAAAAAACTCAATGAATGAGCTCAACAGCAGAACGTAGGAAACAGAGAAAAGAATCTTTAATCTGGAAGATAAAACAATAGAAACTACCCAATTTAAACAACAGAGATAAAAATGAACAGAGCCTCAGAAATCTGTGGAATGATAGCAAAAGATCTAGCACTTGTATAATCAAGTACCAGGAGGAAAGGAGAAAGTGGGCAGGAATGAAAAGTACTTGTAGTAAATAATGGCTAAAAACTTCCCAAATTAGGCAAAAGACATAAATCTACAGATTCAAGAAGTTAGTGAACTCCAAACAGAATAAATTAAATGGAAAAAAATCACAAAGTAAACAAAACCTAAAGCTGTGTTTTTGAAAAGGTCAGTAAGATTGATAAAATTCTAGCCAGGCTAACCAAGAAAGACAGAAATTACTAATATGAAGAATGAAAGAGGAGCCATCACAACTGATCTCATGGACATTAAAAGAATAATTAAAAATACTATAAATAACTCTATGCCCATAAATTTGGTAACTTAGATGAAATGGATCAATTCCTTGAAAGACAATCTACCAAAACTCACACTAGGAGAAACTGACAATCTGAATAGGCCTATATATATATATATATATATATATATATATATATATATATATATATATATAAGATAATATTTCTATATATATTTTTATATTTCACACTATATA